TATTCTATTCTATTCTAGCCACCCATCTCAATCAGTGTGTAGTTTACAATTCCTAACATTATTCTACTTTGACTATATTGTATGGTTATAGCGCCAATGCTCTTCGTTGCTTCGATCCACACGGAGTAGAGAGTGTGAGATACAAGAGTTAACATTCTTAAGCAGTCCATGTTTGCAACCACCAAATGAGAAAAGAAGGCAGCCATGTTCAACGGTGGAAATGGAATAACAACTGTGGAACTAAAGATTGTTCTGTTTGTGCGTTTCGACCTGGAAATAAAAACGGGGGGGTGGGGGGTCGGGTAGGCACACACACACCCGTTGCCTGAACTCTTCCTAAGTTGCTCTTTTCTTTCTCCTTGTAGGTTTGAGGGCATCAGCGACTTGTTTTCCCCAACCGACCTGGGCAGAGAAAGCCAGGTTGGTATATGAAGAGGTGGGGGGTGGAGGCCCCTTCCTGGGGCAGGTGGGAGGGGAAGCCCCACCCCATTTATGCACTGATCCTTCTATTTAATTTGTGGTTTAATGTTTCTCATTTTAATGCTTCGTGTTACCATATTTGTCACTTTTAATTTACCTAAATTGTTTTTAATGATACTTTATGCTGCCCAGAGTCGCTCAATAATGAGATGAGTAGGAAGGGAAAGGAAGGAAGGAGAGAAAGGAAGAAGAGGAAGGAAGGAGGAAGATAAATAGAAGGAAGGAGGAAGGAAAAAGAAAGGAAAAAGGAAAAGGGATGACAAGGGAAAGAGGGAAGGAGAAAAAATGAGGGTAAGGAAGAAATGAGAAGGAAGGGGGAAAGAAAAAGGGAAGGAAGAGAAAAAAGAGAAAGAAGGGAGGGAAGGATTTGGAATGAGGGAAATGAAGGAAGGAAGATCTAGAAAGGAGAGGAAAGGGAAGGAGAAAAGGAGGAAGGAAGCGGAAGAAGGGAATAAAGGGAGGGAGGGAAGATGAGAGAAGGAAGGATTTGGAAAGAGGGAAATGAAGGAAAGAAGATCTAGAAAGAGAGGAAAAGGAAGAAAAGGAGGAAGGAAGCGGAAGAAGGGAAGAAAGGGAGGGAGGGAAGATGAGAGAAGGAAGGATTTGGGAAGAGGGAAATGAAGGAAGGAAGATCTAGGAAGGAGAGGAAAAGATGAGAAAGAAAAGGAAGAGAAAGAAAGAAGAAAGAAAAATGGAAGGAAGTAGAGAAATATAAGGAAGGAGGAAGGAAAAGAGATGACAAGGGAAAGGGAAGGAGAAAAAGAAATGAGAGGAAGGAAGAAATGAGAAGGAAGGAGGAAGAGAAAAGAAGGGAGGAAAAGAAAGGGAGGGAAGGATTTGGGAAGAGGGAAATGAAGGAAGGAAGGAAGATCTAGGAAGGAGAGAAAAAGACGAGAAAGAAAGAAAAGAGAAGAAAGAAAGAAAGAAAGAAAGAAAGAAAGAAAGAAAAGAGAAGAAAGAAAGAAAAAGAAAGAAAGAAAGAGGAAGAAGAGGACCATGATACTAGCAACCCCCCCTCTCTGCCTTTCTCCCCCTTTCACCCAGATCTTTATTTCCCGCTCCTACGACGCCACCACTCACTTTGAGACCACCTGCGACGACATCAAAGACATTTACAAGAGGATGATGGGCTCGGAGTTCGACTTCGAAGAGATGAAGAGGAAGAAGAACGACATCTACGGAGAGGATGAGCAACAGTGAGCGGGGGCCGGACGTCTATTCCCTCCCCCCTCCCTTCCCCTCCCTTCCCCTCCCTGGCTCTCAGCCACAGACCAGGGGGCGAACACCCGCACTCAGGACCATTAAGCTGAGCGCCCTCCCTGTTTCCCCCCCCCCCCACCCCCCCTTGTCCCCCCCCCCCCCCCCCCCCCCCCCCCCCCCAGCTAACAATCATGTGTCCATTTCAGCTTTTGGAGAGGGGTGTGTGTGTTTTGATTGGCAGGTGCCGACACCCGTCACTCTTTAACTCTTTGCTAACTCAGCCCCCCCCCCCCCCTCAAAAATAAAAAAACCAAAAAAACCCCCCCCCCCCCCCCGGGGGGCGCGGCGGGGGCCGCCCCCCCCCCTTCCGCCCTCCCTGCCCCCCCCCCCCCCCCCCCGTCCCCCATTTCACGCCAGCCCTAATCCTGGCCACGCCGCCTCCGGTGGCTCATCCTTTCAAGCGGCACCTCTTTAAAAAGAAAAAGAAAAAAAAAGTCCCCAATTTTTGTGATTTCTTCTTCTTTTTTTTTTTTCCCCCTTCTTCTTCTTCGATGCCCCTCCTTAAAAAAAAAAAAAAATCTCCACAGGTCCCTGAGCTTTTTCTCCAAACTTTTTGTTTACATCGGTTGGGACACAACTTTGCCACGAGGCTTCCGTTTGTGTTTTAAAAGTGCTACTAATAAAAGAAAAAGGAAAGGAAAGGAAAAAAAAAAAAAACACGGTGCAAGCACAAAAATGGTGGCGTAGGTGACATCTCTCTGTGTGTGTGTTTGTGTGTCTGTGTGTGTGTTTCTCCCCCCCCCCTTGTTTCGGGACTAGATCCGGCTTCGTGTTGGCTGAACCGCGGCTCGCTCTCTCTCTCCCACCCTCAGTGGTGTTGTGCCCCCCAAGTAAAAAACCAGTTCACTGATGTCAAGTTTGGTCATGAAACATCTGCAAGAAAACCAACAAGTTCCGAGGGCATGAAGGACCCCACCGTTCTCCTCCC